TCCGTCTAGCCACACACATCCTTACCTTATTGCTTACCTTGTTGACTTTTTAATCTGCTGTCATTTTCTCTATCTTTGCTAGTAAGGTGACCTTGAATTTCGTGAAAGGCGCCTATAAATAAAATGTATTATTATTATTATTATTATTATTATTATTATTATTATTATTATTATTTATTGTACCATGAAAATCTCATCCATGCTTCCGGTGTTTTAAATTTACTTACTGGATTTACGCACTGGACCTTTAAATGACTCCCACACTAGAAGAATTTATTTGCACTGTTTTTTATGTGGAGTAATTATACATGACGGTATTTAGAGACGAGGAGTCATGAACAGAACGTTAAAAATGCTCAGTGATGTTAGGATCTGTTGTTTGGATGGATTTTTGTATCCTTTATGTTTTTGTCTCCAGTCAGATCAGTATGTAAAGACGTGTTTTAAAGGCAAAACTCACCCCTGAAACTCTAAATTTTCACAAATCAATATACTTTTAGAAACAGTAAATAAACTTACATTTGAATGAAATTGACTGACGTGATTTTCAAACAGTTTTCACACCTAAAGAATATTCTGTTAAGAATAAAGCTGTGTTAACGACTCCAAATTTAATCAGCTCCGTATGTGTGCATTGAGGCTTTTGATGCTCATTTCATTTGATCCAATAATTGATTCTAACTTCTTGTTCATTGTCTGTCACAGTGAGATCACAGCTCTGATGAAGTTTGATTGATTGTTTGAAATCCGGTGAACCTGCTTAAAGTTCAAAATGGCTGAGAATATCAAACTCCTGAATCACCTGAATGACCTGACACAGGATGAGCTGAAGACATTTCAGTGGTACTTGATCCATTATGACCAAGAGGGACATCGACGCATACCGAGGTCCCGCCTGGATAGCGCTTCCAGAATGGACACTGTGGATAAAATGGTGCAGGCTTACGGGGGAGACGGTGCTGTGGAGACCACGATGGACATTCTCGTAAAGATCAATCGTAATGACCTTGCAATAAGGTTAACTCAAGGTAATATGTCTTAGTACGCTTGGTAATCTCTGAGTAGGGCTAGCTTTATTTTAATGGATAATAAATATGTAGAGAACACGTTTATCTGTTTATACATTTTATTGTGTTGTGACCATTACTATTGAGGTGTCACACTCTGTTTCTCTAAACTTTACAAAGAGAGAGGGGAATTAATGTTTTAGTAGAGCATAACAAATATAATCTTCATTTACAAATATGTGACTAAATTATCATATTTCTCAATAACGTTTGATTTCTAACTCGTTTATTTAAATTTGCAGCCAAACGCGTCTCAAAAGTGGATGCACATTGGATCGTTAAGGATCTGTCTTGTCCAGTTTGTCATGATATTTTCATGGAGCCTGTTATGCTGCAGTGTGGCGACAGCATCTGTAAGAGCTGCGTGCGCAAAGACGAGAGGAGGGAACTCACTTGGAAATGCCCACGCTGTTGGAAAGAGACACACACTGAACCTCAGGTTAATTCCGCTCTGAAGAGGTTGTGTGAAAACTATAGAAAAAGAAAAGGAGAAGGACCCCTCATAACAGGTGAGGTCACATTCGTTATTGATTTGACTGCTTATCTACATTACTAGTAGTGTTGTGGATCTTAATATTTCACAATGTATGTAAGATTTTATCTGCTAAACATCAGCAGCCTAAAGCGATAGTTCAAATTTTTCGAAGTGGGGTTGTAAGCGGTACATATCCATAGTCGGTCAGGACACCATTTACTACTGTGGTTGGGGGCAGCAGCAAAACCCATTTTAGCCACCTAAAAAAATCAATATCATTTTTAGTGTACACTGTTAAGAATATTTTCGCTGCTTTACTTTGATGCAGACAGCCTGTTACAGTGGGAAGCTGTTAATGGCTTCAGTTCCCCATCTATGCTCATAGCCACCAAACTCCATAGACAAAAACAGTGATTCAACATCGCTGAACACTGGAGCTGCTGGTCTACTGCTGCATTGATCAGTTAGTTAGTTTGTGTTATTGGATGACTTTGGTGAATCCAAATTATCCCCATTGAACGCCAAAAGTCAAACAATGACACAAAGAAAATAACTGATAGAGGCAGCGGTACACCAGCAGCTTCTGTGTTCAGCAATGTTAAATCGCTGTTTTTCTCAATGGAGTCTGGCTTTAAGGAGAGCAGTAAAAGGGATTCCAGACATAAGTCGCTGTCAGCAAGGTAAAGCGGTGAAAATACTCTAAACAGTGTACACTTAAACTGATATTTATTATTTTAGGTGGCTTAAATATTTTTTGTTGCTGAACCGCGTCCGCAGCAGTATGTTGCTTAGCTTCCATGGCGGCACTCCTGTCTGCGTGCCGACTGACATCTACAGTATGTAACACACTGACCGTGGATAAGTACCTCATACAACCCCACATGAAGAAAAATCCAAACTGTCGTGAACGTGTTTGCATGCTGACGTTAGCATTTAGCTTAGACACAAGACACAGTCATTTTGGTCCAGTGATCAGTCACTACACTGTATTTTTCTAACAAACTCATCTTTTTATTTATTTATTTTTTATTCAGAGTCAGTTTCCACTATTCAGGCTTCGTTGCATCAATTCAAACCCAGCTACAGCGCTCAGAATGGAAGCAATTTGGTCGCTCCCGTCATGAGTGGTAATAATATTGGTGGTAGCGTCTTCATCATCGGCACAGTCCAAGGTAGATACATTAAACATGGGAGTAGCTGAAACTGGGGTTTGGGCTCTGCTGATTTTTTCCTTCTTTTGCAGGGTCTGTCGTTTCCTCAAAACAGGCACTGAACCACGTGTTTGCAGACAGCTGTGGTGCTCTGCAGCCCCAGAGTGAGTACTTCTTACAGCCCATTACCTATTGCACTTAGCAATTTGATAAAGGAGAGAGTGGGATAAGTTGACCCACCCCCTGTTTTTAGGCAACTGTGCATATCTGTTGTCATGTCACCATTAATTCAGGAAGCACCCATCATATCTGATCTGATGACGAGAACTGGATACAGTGCCGGGTTTTGAGGCCATTCTCCGGGTGCTCTCAGACCTAGAGTTGTCTTGCTTTGGTCTGAATTAGGGACTAATTTTGTTTCAAAGTTGTATAATTGCCTAGAGTTGGTTCATGTTCTCACAGCAGCATTTACAAGTGGACCAGATAAAATGCCTTGCTCAAGAAAGCTGCTCTTGATAGGTCAGAATTTCCATGTGGGAAAAATCCAGGAAGTAAACAAAACATTGAAGAAGAGTACACTTGCAAGATAAATTAATTAATATGTTTATATAAGTGTATAATCGCTATAAAATAAAATTTGTTTGGTTTTCGTAGCCTTATAATTATGCTTTTATATATATATATAGCAAGGGCCTCGCTTTAGAGAGGTCGCCATCTTGCGCCACCATGTATGTACGGCAGACTGAGCGGACAATCCAGCCAGCCAGAGAACGCGTTTTGTGTGTATAAATAAACCAACGAAGACAGCGGAAGGAAGGAAGAAGGAGTAGGAAACAGCAGAGAGTGTTAGTAGTTCGTCGATAGAGAGTAGTGAAAAGTTTTTTTAGTTATAAAGTTTGCGAATGGACCACACTTACCACGCAACAGGAGAGAATGAACCCGAACCATCATCTGCGAGGAAAAGAAGACGCAACTTCACTCCTTGTGATGCACTCTCTGCGGAGCTTTTCCTCCTGATGATATATCTCCCCAACGATGGTAGCACCGAATCCCATTCTGTGCAGCAAAATGGGAGCGGAGGATTCAGCCTCTCTTCTCACCTGCTCAGTATCCAAGTTCCTCATCTGTATGCTCCGGCTCAAACAGGTATGGCTCTGGATCTGTGTCCGCTACAAGAAACTCTTCAAAATCGCGTTCAAAGTCGTCCATTGCAGCTACTATAGTCCGGAGATATTGCTAGGCTAAATAAACAGCTGAGCTCTGTTTACAGGCTACGCTGTCAGTCAGTGTGCGGGCTGGAGATTGGTGGAGCAGAGAGGGGAGGGGGGTCCCCACTCAGTATGGTAAACGAGTATGTGTGTATGGAGTGTGTCTGTTACGCCAGAAGAGTCAGAGTTTGGGACGGAGTCTTTTACCCCCTGGAGTGTTACCGGAGTTTTTGGAGTGCTCAAATAAACGGGCCTTTTTCCCGAACAATACTCTGGTCTCCTGCTCGTGAGGGATTCATTACAATATCGTAACATGGTTTAGATTTCTAAATAAACATTCACCTCATCGCTAGATAGACCTACTCCTGAAAAACTCATGTCTGCGCAAGGCTTTTTGTCCCTACGAGGCCACCGTCATTTACCCGACGGGAGGGGTGAGCGAGTGAGCCCTGCAATCTAGAATTTGACCACTGATGTCACTGTTTTCAACCCATTTTACACAGTGGCCCTTTAAGGCAGTACAGGAGGAGGTGCATATTAATAATCCCCCAGGACTGTAACATGCTCATGTTTAACGCAAACAATGTGTCATGTGACTGCAGTTGGTTCAGATCCAGGTCGCAACACGTACCAGAGTTCGTTTGTAACCTGACTGAGACCACCTCTTCAAGAAGGTCATGGTCTGGTTGTTGTGGTGCACACCTGAGTGTGATTGCTGTGTTCACGCCTGCCCAAACAAACCGCACTGAGGGGGCAAACAAACTTGAGTTTGACTGAACTGAACCAACCTGGTATCGTACTGTATCATATGGTAACGCATCTTATCTCAGTGGTTCCCGGCCTTTTTCTTGAGGGACCCATATTTTTACCATTGTAGACTTTGGTCCCCCCCTCTCTTTATTATTTCAAATAAATGAATAACCTTTTAATATAAGCCTTAAATTTGTTTGTTTCTGACACATACAGGAATAACATTTTGACAGATTACATTAAAATTACATCCCTTAAAATCAAGAGGGCTTTGTGACCCCTGTTGCTCTTTGCTCTCATATGGTATCTTATCTTATTATATGGTAACTAACTGTAGCTTACCTTACCTTACCTTATTTTCTTTTAGATCAAGATTGGTCCAAGAATTTGATGGCCTGCCACTATCTCTCCTGCTGTATGACTGAAGCAGCATCTTTGGAAAGAGCTACAGCCTTCAATAAAACCACAGTTGGGGAGTTCTTTGACAATCTGTCTGAAGCGATGGACAGGTGACAGAACTCATTCATTTATGACTACATTAATCACTAATATTAATGTCAAATATACAAAACAAGAATTTAAAGACTACACATTTTGCATTTGTAACAGGTTCAGGTTAAAGATCTAAGCTGCTGCTGCTGCCTGTGAAGTTATGTTCATTTCACAACCGTAAGACATGTTCTGTGTCGTTTCCGTGAATTATCCAGTACATCCAACCGGCCTCACAACCGCAGACCATGTGCACCCACACTAGCCCTGCACAGCTCGTCATCTTAACCAACGTGGATGGTTGTGAGGCCGGTTGGATGTGCTGCCAAATTCACGGAAACAACACAGAGGACGTCTTATAGTTGTGAAATGAACTTGAGGTTTACAGGCAACAGCTTTTTGCATTAAGGTGTAACATTTCTGATTCTCATCATGGCTCTTTCATGTCTTTTTTTACAGGTTCAGATTCCCTCCAAACATGATCTATAATGTCGCCGTAACAGGTGTCACACCAGAGCAGACCTCAAAGCAGGCAGTGGCAGTAAGAGGAAAGACGCAAGTGGGCGTCATCACGCCTGCCGAAAGAGAATCGCATGTGACTGTGGTCTGTGCAGTCAATGCCACTGGGAATGCAGTCCCTCCCATGTTTATCTTCCCAGGAGTCGAATACAATGACCACTTCATCACAGGAGCACCTCCAGGATCAACTGGCGCCTCCACCCCATCTGGCTGGATCAATGAAGACACCTTTGCAGAGTTCCTTGAATGTCTGGTTCGGTACACCAACTGCTCCACCGACCACCCCATGCTGCTAATCCTTGATAAACATCAGGTCGCCTTTTCACAGAAGGCACTGGATATAGCAAAAAGAAAGGGTATTGTTATGCTCTCAACCCCAGCCCACACATCCCATCGCCTGCAGCCTCTGCACAAGAGTGTTTTTGGTCCATTTCAGACCTATTACAACAGAGCTCTTGATGGTTGGCTGAGATCTAACCCAGGCAAAACAGCCAGCATATACCAAATCCCTGGATGTGTGAATGAGGCTTTCATGTCAGCCATGACGCCACGAAATATCAACGCTGGATTCACGTCCACAGGGATCTTCCCTTACAACAGGGACATTTTCTCTGATGAGTTTGAACCAGACGTGGCGTCAGACATGCCAAATCCTGTGGATTCAATGTCCATGTCTGCTGAGCTGCCTTTACATGCATGTGCTCCACCAAGTGGCCCAGATTCGAATCCACACAGTATCCAGACTTATACACCTTGTAGCATCCAATAATGTAACTCGGGCTGAAACAATTCCTCGAGTGACTTTATTTATTCTCAAATCCATGACTAAAAAGCTTCGTTAAATCCAGTGCAACTGTACAGCAGGCTGTGTTTTGCATGGATGGTTGTTTCTGTTGCACAACGCACTTCAGTTACTTTCTCTGTTGATTGCCTGCGCAGCTGTAACGTGGATGTGAAGCGCGGATTGCAAGACAATGGACGAAGAGGGACAAGAAAACAGCAAGAGACAAAAAGAGGAGACACGTCAAAAAGTGTCAAGAGTGTGGGATCATTACAAGTTAAAATTAAAAGAACGAAAACTTGTTAGCATACCACAACAGCACGTCCTCAGTGCTACAACATCTCAGTAGAAAACATTCGGTGTATGCATCGAGTTCACAGAGCGGATCTGACTCAACAAGGGAACATTATCATCACGTTTAATTGCATTTAACCTTCATCAGGGATTGCTGGCTGAGATTCAGAACGCATGTAAAGAACGTACGCGTATCGCTTCTTTGGCTGATTAATGTGGTGGCTAACATCACATGGCGTTGTATCACATGTATTAGCTAAGTTTTGCTAGGGAATATAATATATTTGTTAACACGTGCACCCTTTACTCATTCATTCATTCATTTACTCATTCATAGAGTATGAAGCCTAAATGCACAAATCCAGTACAGCAGGTATATTAATTTGCAGTGAGTAGGGTCAGCAGGTGTGAGGAACCCCCTTGACTGCAGTGAATGAGTCGAAACTAGACAATCACAGGAACTTAAAGTATGATATTTATAAAGGCCAAGTAATAAATATCAATAAAAATGTATTATAATCTTTTTTTGGAAAGTTGCAGAGTGGTACTTTGGACAGCTTTGTGCAAAGGGTTCCACCATGTTTAACTGAGGAAGCAGCTGAGTTTACAGACAGCAGATGCATCATTTGATCTGTCATAGCTGTTAAAGTTCACACTGCAGACAAGTGGGGTTTTTTTTTTGCAATTAAAGCAATAAAAATGTTGAATTTTCAGAAAAGGAAACAAATGTGTTGCTCATTTATCTCATTTCAGAGACTTGTATTATTTACTCTTTTATATTACCATTACCCTTAAATAAAGCTAAAGTAATTTAACGAAAACATGCAGTATTTGTTATCCAATTACTCGATTAATCACCAGAATACTCCATTACTAGGAATTGATAGCTGCAGCCCTAAATGTAAAAACTTCCTGAAAACATAACAGATGAAAATGTAATACTGAACCCAACTGAAAATATAAAAACCCAGTAATGTAATAACTTGACCAACAATGTAATAAAATGGCCTGACTGATATTTTTACAGGTGATGTAGTACCTTTACAGTGGTTTTTATTAATTTTATTTATTTTTTCAAAAAGCTGATGATGTAATAATTTTGAGTGCATCATTTTTAAAACTGTTGTGTCCTAACATGCTAACATTTGACACTGAATTCATGGTCGGAAAGGTGGACTTTATGTAGAATCTGAAGTTAACAACAGATGGCAGGTGGTATGTTGTTATCAGGCAAATAATCCCTAAAATCCCTGGCAAAGTGGCAAAGAGAGACACTCATGCATTTAAAGCCCCGTTTCAGTATGGTACCTTTGGCACCAACAGTAACCCTTCAGACATGGTACCTAGACCCTAGTGTTTCCACTGCAAACAGTACTCTTAAATGTGGGTGGGGTTGTTGTCACTCACTGCTCCGTCCAGCACTCACTGTATTTCCTCATTACCGGTGACACACATAGAAGTCTGCACCTTGTTTATCGTCCACAGAACGAGGCTGCACGCCGACATTTTCAGAACAAAATAGAACAGGCTGCAGTGAGAGTCTCTCTCCATGGGATATTTAAAAATATTCTCCTAAATATTCTTGAAAGAGATGCCTTCATGGCCACAGATTGAACATCTTCCTTGCAAGTGTTCCTATCTCCCAGCACTACTTCACAGCCCAACAAAGTTAAACAAAATTAAGACTGGGTCTGGAGGGTACTACCACTCTGGGAACCCAAATGCAGAATCCCAGGACACAGGAAAACACAAGGTAAGTATCCACAAAAAGGGCACAAGCAAAAGTCTTGGTTAAATCACAACTTGAAGTATGACTTTACCACAGTGGTAGACGCCACGATCTGGCGAGGAGTGTTTTATACTGCAGGGTTGATTACTGGATGGTTCTCAGGTGAGCAGCAGAGAGCAGGTGAGTTGAATGAATGTAATCAGGAACCCAGGAGAGTGAGAGAGCTGCCACGCCCACAGCACAGACACACAGGGAAGGGGAAACAGAGGATGAGGAAAAACGCAGGAAAACTAGTGACACCCCATGACAGAAACCTCATCATGCTGCTTCAGACAGTCTCTTGGCTGTTAAACCATATACCTTTTTTCCAACATCTTTTTTATTTCCAAAAGGTGTACCAATATGTAAACTATGAGTATAACAGAGTACACTGAGTATCCTCATGTCCCTCATCCCCTCCCCTACATCTCCATATACCGAAATAACCAGAATAGAGAATAGAAAGACAAGCTAGCAAAAGGGCAAATCAAGGACTTAGGACGTGACAGGACGTGACAGGACTAATGGTGGTAACAACACTTAAACTTCCACTTAAAAAGAAGGAAAATAATGGCGTCCAAAGTTGATTTTTCTAAGGTTAGTCTCTCTAGTGGTAGAAATTGTGATAGCTAGCCCAGGAATAGCCCAAAAGAGTAGAAGAAAACCACATAATTGATAAAGTCCAATCTGTCTTCAGAAAGAATCACAGTAGAGAAACTGCTCTACTTAGAGTAACAAATGACATTTTGTTGAGTGCAGACTCAGGAAACCATACAACTCTCATTTTACTGGACTTGACTGCAGCATCTGATACAATTGATCACACAATCTTACTCAACAGACTCAGGAACTGGGTTGGTCTGGTCCTATTTGTCAACTAGAAAGTTCAAAGTCATTGGTGACAACTTCAGTTCATCAACTGCTCGAATGTCATGTGGTGTCCCACAGGGCTCAGTCCTTGGGCCTATTTTATTCAGCTTGTATATTTTACCCCTTGGTCATGTTATCTGCAATTTCACCTCTGTATCATACTGCTCTTATGCTGATGATTCTCAGTTATTCATCTCATTTAGCCCTGGACATCATAGCAACCTGGACTCTGCACCGCTGCCTTGCTGCGGCTTCCAACTTCCTACAGCTTAACGCACATAAGACAGAGGTCCTGGTTATAGGTCCTGACCAGACCTCCAATAGTTTCATCCCTACCTTGGATCACTAGCAACTTACACAAAACACTCAGCTGGAAACTTAGGAGCTGTCTTTGATCCATACCTTAACTTCAATCAGCACATTAAGGGTGTTGTTCAATTCATTTTTCCAAAATAGAAGTATACATTTCTTTGAAAAGTATGTAATATCTAACTGGAAATCTGGCATATCTTTTAAAAAATACAAACAAGGATTTAAATTAAATGTTATTTTCAGGACTGATTTTATGAGGAAATGAACCAAATTCCAGATGACACTGCCAAAACATATGCATGAATGTTTCTTCTTCAGTTTTGCATCTTGGGCAGTTCAGTGTATCGTCTTTGGAAATTTTAGGCATTTTTATGGGAGTGAGATAAACTTATTAGTTTCCTTGATGTTGTTACTTGTAAATGGAAAATGTGTTCTTTCACAAATGTTTAACCAGGTGTATTCATCTAAAACCACCCCTAGGACTTTCTCCTAAATCTTAAAAAAAGTTGGGAAAGATGAATGAGCTCGTTTGGCTATAATATTATAAAATTTACTAATCTTACCTTTAACTGTAATGAAGGAAATTAATATATCCTGTACTTAAGATAATTCAAAACTAAACTTATTTTCTTTGATAAGAAAACAAACAACATTCCAGATTTGAATGATTTTAACTGCATATTTTTATGGAACAAATCTTTAAATTGTTTTATAACCAAATTTTTCCATGTTAATTGAATTGTGTTTAATCAGATCGCAATTCCAATGGATGGGAGAATAGATGGAAATACAATTGGAAATGCCAAATATAAACTCTAAATTAAAGGTGCTGTGTCTCACTGTTCCATTCCACATTCCACTGAAGTTAAAATGCCTATTTTCAGTACAGGTTTCCCACACTTCATCTGTAATCTCAATATCCAATTTTGCCAGTTTTCCTTAAATGATTTCAGTGACAGGCATTTTTCACCTCTCTACCCCATGCTACTGCTCAGTTTGAACTTCAGCAGGTCGTCTTGACCATGTCCACATGTCTAAATGCATTGAGTTGCTGCCATGTGATTGGCTGATTAGCTATTTGCGTTAACAAGCAGTTGAACAGGTTGAACCTAATAAAGTGGCCCGTGAGTGTTATACAAGTTGTATTGTTGCTATAATGTGTTTTTGTTTTTTTTTACAGGTGCAATGATCCCGTGAGTGTTGTTCTACTTGAAAATCCAAAGAACAAAGTGGTTAAATATAAATAAATATAAGACATTAAAAAGTTTTGCCATATTTCCAGTGGTGGAATGAACTCAGTACATTAATTCAGGTACTGTACAAAAGTACAAATTCTGTGTAGGTTTACTTGTATCATGTACCACGGGGTTCCTGTAGATCCTTAAAACCTGCCTTGAGCTGCAGGAACCCTGTGCAAAGCAAGACATGTCATGTTTTTGAAAGTGAAGCACATTTTGTAGTAAATGAAACTGTTTTCAGAGCTGCGGTTTATTCGAGGAGACTCTACAGTAGACAAGAAACACCAGCTTCCTGTTTTCTTCACCCAGGAAGGAAGCACAAGAGGTTTTTTTTTTAATCTGTCCAAAAACCCCTCAGTTTACAAGCAGTGGCTGTCAGCGTGTAAATCAGATGGCGATCACAGTTGTTATTGAGGCAGGTAAGCATTTATTTTAATCTTTAATCTGTCGGACTCAACATAGTCATTCTGTATCTGATTAATATTCCATTGATTCCATTGATTGATGTTCATTATTGTATTTTATTTCTATTTGATACCTAAAAAAAAGACAGGAAAGTCTCCGTGTCATGCGTAAGGCCAAGATGAAGACTGTCGATGAAGAGTGTCAATCACCAGAAATCGTGCAGGGAGCTGATGAGAAAAACATAGAAGATAAGAATGTTGCTGATAAAACAAACTTGGTCGCTCAAGGTAAGGATGTAAAATTAAGAATAAGAAGTTACTACGGCAAATAATCTGACCAAAAGTCATGAGGAAATAATACAAGTGCAAGATCTCAGTTCCTAAATTGTAAATATAAGATTTGGCTGACCTAAAAAGCACCAGATACGTCTTAAAATCTGACTTCAGTGCTCCAGTGATCATTCACTACACTGCAGTTTGTAACTAACTGCTGAAACTGAGTTTTGTGGTTTCTCTCAGAGTCAGTTCCCCCTATTCAGGCTGCGGTTCATCATTTCCAACCCAGCTACAGCGCTCAGAGTGGAGGCAGTGTGGTCGCTCCCACCATTATTGGTTGTAGAATTGGTGGTAATGTCAACATCATCGTCTCAGGCCAAGGTAGATACATGAAACATGGGATTAGCTGAAACTGGGGTTTGGGCTCTGCTGATTTTTTTCTTCTTCTTTTTGTCAGTTGCTTCCTCAGAAGAAATAGTGGACACTACAGACTGCTGTGGCACTCTGCAGTCCCAAAGTGAGTGCAGCCGCCTTTAGAAATTTGACTTACCCTCCTGAGACCCTGTGTCCTCATATGAGGACATCACATTTCCGGTTTACTGGACTGTTTACTTCATACTGCTTAACTTAGACCTGCTGTCCTCATTTATGGACACTTCTTTGTGCCATCTAGTGGCAGTAAGATGACAATACAGTAATCCATGTAAAAACAAGATGGCAGCCATCTCTGCCAAGTCAGTCTTCAGGTGACCGCGACACAAAAGTGGACAAGGTCCAAAACCTGATCACATTTTATGGTTGAAACTGGTTTATTTATGATTAATAACCTTTGTAACCTGATATGACAACAAATTTGACCAATAGCAACAGTAACAAGATAAGATTCTGTTAATTAGGAAGTACTCATTTGAGGACATTTGAAATTTATCATCAGCTCATTGCAGGACACTGGGACTTAATTATGGTCTCATTTGAGGACATTGGGACTTTATTATCGTCTTGTTTGTGGACATCGGGACTTAATTATCGTCTCGTTTGAGGACACTGGGACTTTGTTATTGTCTCGTTTGAGGCACTTGGGACTTTGTTATTGTCTCGTTTGTAGACACTGGGACTTAATTATCATCTCATTTGAGGACATTGGGACTTTATTATCGCCTAGTTTGTAGACATTGGGACTTAATTATCGTCTCGTTTGAGGACATTGGGACTTAATTATTGTCTCATTTGAGGACATTGGGACTTTATTATCGTCTAGTTTGTAGACATTGGGACTTAATTATCGTCTCGTTTGAGGACATTGGGACTATACTTATCAGGTCCTACTAATCCAAAATAGCTAGGAGAAATTATGAATGCATACCAAACAAAAGTTCGGGTCTCAGGAGGACATAGACACCTTAATTCTTTAGAATGAGAGAAAAACCTAAGTAACCTTTGAATGCATTTTCTCCTTCAGATGATAAGATTGCGGAATGTCAAGTGAAACTGAAAGCCACTCTGAAAAGGAACTTCAGCCACTTGCCTGAAGGGATGACAACTGAATCAAACAGGATACCTCTCGATAAGATCTACACAGAGCTCTACATCACCAAGGGAGGAAGTGGCGAAGTCAACAAGGAGCATGAGGTGAGACAGATTGAGACGACATCCAGGACACATGAGGCCCAAGAGAAATCAGTCCACTGCAATCAACTCTTCGTTCCACAACAAGGCAGAGAACATCCCGTAAGAACTGTGATCACGAGGGGAGTCGCTGGCATTGGAAAAACCGTATTGGTCAATAAATTCACTCTGGACTGGGCTGAGGAGATAACAAACACAAACCTGGAATTTGTATTCCCTCTCTCTTTCCGAGAGTTGAATCTGATGAGAAAGAGAATCTTAAGTCTGGTGGATCTTCTCAGCACCCTTTTCCCTGAAACAAAAGATTCAGGAATCTTTATTAATGATAAAAAGATGCTCTTCATCCTGGATGGTCTGGACGAGAGCCGCTTGTCTTTGGACTTCCAAAAAAGCGAAATAATGTCCGATGTGACGCAGCCCACCACGATTGCGGTGCTTCTGACCAACCTCATCAGGGGAAGACTGCTTCCTTTTGCTCATGTTTGGATAACATCTCGTCCAGTAGCCTCCAGTCAGATCCCTCAAGAGCACATTAATCTGGTGACAGAGGTACGAGGGTTCAACAACCCCCAGAAAGACGAGTACTTCAGGAGGAAAATCAGCGACGAGCACTTAGCAAACAGGGTGATCGCACATGTGAAATCCTGCAGGAGTCTTCACATCATGTGCCACATACCAGTCTTCTGCTGGATGGCAGCAAGTGTTCTTGAGAGGAAGTTACAGACAACGGACAATAAAGACACACCAAAGACCCTCACGCAGATGTACATACAGTTTGTGACCTTGTACGTGGAGAACATGAAGAAGAGGCTGCCTGGAAGAAGAGAGTCAAACGCCGAGTGCATAAGAGATAACCTCATCTCGTTGGGTAAACTGGCCTTCAAAGAGCTCGAGAAGGGCCACTTGATCTTCTATGAGAGCGACCTCATCCTGAATGGTATAAAAGTCACACAGGCGTCCATGTTCTCAGGAGTCTACACGCAGGTCTTCAATGAAGAGCGGATACTGTGCGAGGAGAAGATGTTCTCCTTTGTGCATCTAAGCGTCCAGGAATTCTTTGCTGCGTTGTACGTCTACCTCACATTCCACAACGACAACATCAATGTCCTGGTCAAGAAGTCCTCCACTTCAAGACGTTTCCTGTCAAGAGATCCATCAGAGCTCATCCTCTACAAGGAAGCGGTAGAAAAGGCTTTGCGATGCGAAAATGGACACTTTGACATCTTTCTGCGCTTCCTTTTGGGTCTGTCTCTGGAATCCAATCAAACTCTTTTGAAACATCTCATGACCAGCAACAGAACAAACCAAAGAACAAGAACAGAGATCATTAAACACATAAAGGAGAAGATCAGGGCAAGTCCATTCCCAGACAGATGCCTCAATCTCTTTCACTGTCTGAATGAGCTGAACGACCACTCTCTTGTGGAGGAGATTCAGAGCTACCTCTGCTCGGGCAGTCTTAACAAAGCGAAACTTTCACCTGCCCAGTGGGCCTCTCTGGTGTTTGTGTTACTGACATCAGAAGAAGAGATAAGTATGTTTGAACTGAGCAACTACACCAGGACAGAGGAAGGTCTTCGGAGGCTGCTGCCTGTCGTGAAAACAGCCCGAGTAGCAAAGTAAGTGCCTTGTAAAAACAGATCATAAACTCTTAGGCTTTTTTGACCCTGAAATTAAAGATAGTCAGCTTCAGTGCACAGATTCTTTTTGGCATGTAGGAAAAGCAGTCGATAAGACTGCTGAACTCCTGATGATGTGGTTAGGTATGGTCTGATGCACTTGAGACCACTTTCAGGGTGTGGACAGAGCATGGAGTTACCACTTGTTGGATGAGCAAGCAAGATTATTCACCTGAGTGCAATTACTATATAATATGATGGGTAACAAAAAGGTTACGCACTAGATAACAGATAAATTACTTTATGTGTTAGTTTAAGAAGATTTGAACATGTAACCCGTGTTGCTTTCCATTTAGCTCAGAAGTCAGAGGTTGGATCTGGGAATTATGTCACAACTGATCTGATCCTGCTCCAGAAAACCAAGATGTTGTTAGCAATACCAGTTCTAGCCAGGGTAGCTGTTGTCAGCAATACGAGTCGATAACAATGCATTACATTGTATTTTGTACATGCAAACACCGGAGCAACATGTCCACAGATAGAGGTTAGACTGTAGTGTGTGTTCAAGTAATTTAATAAGACAGAAGTGCTAATAAACACTATATTACTACATTACTACAGCTTAACGAGCCTGAATTTTCATTGGTGGGTGAAGTGTTTGCTATTAAGCTTGCCATATCAACTTAGAAGGTGATGTCAATGTCGTGTTTACAGTTTGTTTTTGCTGCCCCCAAGTGGCCAAAGTTATTAAGGTTTGAGTATTAAAGCATGGGTAGGCAGTTGTACTTTGGCGTTATTGGGCAATAACATCATAAGCTTTGAGCATATTGTAATTCAAGTGGTCTGAGAGAACACTGGAGTTCTGTACCTCCTCTTGGCTCTGTTTTCAGACCAACGATTGCAAAGCAACTCAAAAAAGGAAGACAGACTTATCAAAAAGAGAGTCTATTTTCAAATTCGGCTTCTTTTTTTTTTGCCTTTTCCAGATTTCTGTTTTTACTTCAAATATCAATAACTTTGCCTTAATATTCCAAATGATGTGAATGGTATTAACATTTAAATATAAATGCTGTGGCTTGTCACATTGCAGTTGCCTAAAATTTGGACAACTGTGTTTGCATTAGACTCCAGCTGCTTAGCTCTTATTCCAAACAGGGCAGAATACGAGGTATGTCAACAGAGGGGGACATTTCTTTATGAAATTTTTTACTTCATATATCTCAAAATGTCTTTCCTCCTGCAGTCTAAATGCGTGTAATCTCACTGTGAACTGCTGTGAAATCCTGGCCAATTGCATCAACTCATCCCAGGTCAGAGAGCTGGACCTGGGTAACAACAACCTGACAGACGCAGGAATAAAATTGCTCTCTGGTGGACTGAAGAACAGCAAACTGGAGACACTCAGGTCAAAGCCCAACAAAATTTTCTGTTCTCTTCTCCAAGCCAATTAAAGACGTTTTTGACACTGTCCGTATTTTCTGTTTGTTTAGACTGAAGAGCTGCAGCCTGACAGAGCTCAGCTCCGATGACCTGGCCTCGCTTATCAGCTCAGCCTCCTCCGAGCTGAAAGTCCTGGACCTCTCCGACAATGACTTTCTGGACACAGGAGTCAAAAAGCTCTCTGGTGGACTGGGGAGCCCTCACTGCAAACTGGATATACTTATGTGAGTGCCCTGAGAGAAATTCCACACCAGATGAATTATTTAATAGCTGGATACAGTACAGAGCAAAAAATCCAGTTGTTGCTGTCTTTGTCACGGAGATCAGATTGGATGAAATGTCTTTTTGTGCCTGTTGTGAAGTTTGTCCCTGTGCAGAGTGACAGAGGAAGGCTGCACTTTCCTAGCATCTGCTTTGAACTCATCCCGTCTGAGAGAGCTCGACCTGAGCTACAACCACCTGGGACATTCAGGCCTGCAGCTGCTGTCTGCTCTGCAGGAAGACCCACAATGCAGCCTGCAGAAACTCAGGTAGGAATGCTGTCGACTAGAACCTGAAAATAGCTCATCAAAGATTTATTTAGACACTGCAGTATGGAAATACCAAAGATCTAGTATTAAAGATAATTGTGTAATGTGAGGGTTTGATATGTGGTGGCTGGATCACTCTTATTGAGAGGAGGGATAACTTTCTTACGCAGCATTGTACTTGTCTCCACACTTTCAGCTTCATCAGCCCCAAGTTTTGTGTGTGATTTATCCTGGCTTCATATGAGCAGAGGAAATCTCCGCTGGTCGCTAGGCTAATTTATACAATGTAAAATGCCATAGGTTTGTGCTAATAACGTTAGCATGTTATATTTGTTTGGAAAATGTGTTTAGTATAAGACAGTTGTTTTGTCAGTGAACCTTGTGAGCTGTAATGGAGCCAAATTTTGTATCATTACCTTTGTTAAATGTTGCTGTTGTCCCTGGTTTCATATGGGTAGAGGAAAAGTCCGCTAGCTGCTAGGCTAATTTATACAATGTAAAATGCCATAGGCTTGTGCTAATAACGTTAGCATGTTGTATTTGTGGGGAAAATGTGTCCAGATAAAGACAAGTGTTTGTCTGTGGATGCTGCGAGTTATAGTGAAGCTGATTTGTGTACTTGTGTTTGACATTGTCTCTATTAAGCCATGTTTAATGTGTGTTTATTGTGTGTTTAATGTGTGTTTTGAGTCAACTAAACTTTACAGCACTCCACAGAAACCTTTTACAACCCGGCTCTTAGGCTGCAACAAGAATGGGAGACGGAACAAGTTTACCCGCCCAAAACACTCAAACTACCAGTTAATGCTACAGAACCAGATTACAACTCATATGCTAAACTCAAATAGACCCAATGCACAGCCAAAACATCAGTGAGGAACTTTCCTCCTAACTGCCTAACCAAAACTTACTAATACTCACTCCTAGTCTTCATGTGGCTTGTGGCAATTATTTATGCATTAAAAACCAGCAGGCTTGGTTTATCAACCGACACTCCACGTTGCCACAATACTACCAAAAAAAATGCAACCCAAAGGGGAAGCATCATACAACCTAGCAGTGACAGAAAAACAGTGATTTATGATCAATGGCCATGCACATGGGACCCACAGAGCTCCATGTCACCAATAAACACTGCCCAGCAACACAAAAATGCAACCCTCAGAACTAAACAACTTTCTGTTAAACAAAGCTGCTTCCATAAACTCAAAGTAGCAAAATCAGCCTACTCACCAAAGTTGTCTGCATCCCAATAAAACCAGATACCAGAGCAAAAGCACAACACATTAGAGCACACAGCCAAAACCAGCACACAGCTGAACCAGATCACCTAATCAGCAAGGGCAATCAAGGATGTGCCTGCTGCTACCAAAGGTATGAATACACATAGCAACAAATCAAACTGAATGGACAAGCTCTCAACTGTCACGTGAAGTAGCAACACAACCAAACTGGGCCAAATCACCACAAAGCCTCGACCTAATCTTACCGACGTGGTGAATTTCAGCTTTGGACAAGCCCCCACTTGCCTCTACTCTTCTTCTGATTGGCCAGTAATCATTGCCTTCATTCGTTCTGTTGGTTAGATTTAGGCAAGAGGTGTGGGATTGCCCTCACCATCATAGGAAATGCATATTAATGTCCCAGACTCAATTTACTATCATTGGTTCCTGACTCACACGTCTCTGAACTCACCAGTCAGAAGCTTGGAGGACTTAAGTCCAGTTCGGACCAAAGATTTGCAACGAAACGAGTCAAAACAGGCCGTTCTGTAACGTTCTAAAAACCTGCCAGTTCACACCGATGCAACTAGATGAGATGGTGTATCATCTCTATGCAACAACTCTGTACTTCTGTTCTGATTTGCAGCTTTTATTTTGTGGATGAATATAATTTGTAGCTCCTTAAAATATGAATGAGGATTGTGATAGTGAGATACTGGCTACAGCTGCATTTGTAGTAGCGATGAAAGGCGAAAAACAGAAACAAAATGAGCATCAGACGGTGTGTATTCATAATAAATACACCACAATAATATAAGTAAGCAATGCCAAATAGTCAGTGAGAATCTGTGTTTGAGTTGGTGGGCGTATAAACACATTTAGCGAGTAGCAGCAGCGACCCGCCATCTGACATCGGCACATCGTGAGGACGGAATCAGAGTTCTCAGCGGGGAAGGAACACCTGCAGCAGCAAGCAAACACGTGTTTTCGCTTGTTTTAGAAACAAGTGAAGTGCTTTACTTTCAAAAACCAGCTGCAAGCGATTTGACCAGCTGAGTTGCAAGGGACACCATCAGCCATCTTGAGTCAAGCTCAGACCGGCCAGTTCACACTGCTGCAACTTTTCTCTGCAACGTTTTAAAATGGTTTTGTCTTGTAGTGAATCATTGGTCTCTATAGAGATGAATATTGAAACAGTGAACGCATAAACCTTTCCTTGCCCCGCATGTTTGCCTCCAAGGGTTGGAACATGGATGTATAAAGAGAATTGGATACAGCACTGAAGGTGGGGCCCCGTTAATTCCTATGAACGCTGCTCAGTGGCATGTGAAGCCAAAAAAGTTCGACTTTGTGATGGTGAAATTACCCAGATCCACTTGGTTTGCCACTTCCAGTTTACTCCACTAACTCTAATGGGGATCAAATGATTTAACCATGTGGCTCTTCTAGACTCTAAATGTCATCAGACCAAATAAATCAAATCCAGAATGACAGGAGTCATTTCAAGGGGGTTGTGACACTCAAAAGAATGTAGCCACTGATTTACAGACGTCTCTTTCACAGTGCAAGTCTTTTTGGGCCCCATGGCATCATGTCACAGACCAGGAAGTTGTAGTTACACAGTTTAGCCACTATGCCAAATTGGCTTCAAAGTCTGGCACACTTCCCGGGGCCTGGATTGGAAACCCAGAGTGACCAGTGACGAGCTTCACTGGTATCTGATTGCAGTCAAACACATGGTGGTTGCATGTAGAGCTGATTCTTCAGAGGTCATGGCCATTGTAGGCAAAGCGTACCTCAAATTTTACAGTCCAATACAAGCAATAATACTGACATAGCGATAAAGAGGAGCTGCTGCATCCATGCACGGCTTTATTGACTCTTTCTCTTTGTGCTGCACCAACAATAATATAACTTGGTAGTGGGGAAAAAGTTGAAAAGTCGCAACACTTTATTGAAACAAGTATCAGAAAACAGTGTTTTTTTTTGTTATGTTTCAGTGTAGAACAGTGTGGTGAATCCAGGATCCAGCCAGGTCCAAAGAAATGTGAGTAACCAGCTCTTTGTACGTCTCTGTTTCCTTATAAAGTCATAAAACAGCACTGAGTAACATATTCTGGATCTGCTTCATCAGACACCAGCAAACTCACTCTGGACCCAAACACAGCACACAGGGACCTTTCTCTGTCTGAGGGAAACAGGAAAGCAACGCGCTGGACCGAGCAGTCCTACCCTGATCACCCGGACAGGTTTGATTTCTGGAGACAGGTGTTGTGCAGGGAGGGACTGACTGGGCGCTGCTACTGGGAGACCGAATGGAACGGGAGAGTTTTCATAGGAGTCGCCTACAGAAGGATGTGCAGAAAGGGAGAGGGTCACGACAGCTGGTTGGGCCAAAATGACTCTTCTTGGGGGCTCAACTGCACCAAAGATGGCTACAATAGCTGGCACAAAGGCATGAACACTGCTTTGAAGATTGCACCAAACTCCTATAAAGTAGGAGTCTACCTGGACTGGACAGCTGGTAGACTGTCCTTCTACAGGGTCTCCTGTGGCACACTGACCCTCCTTTACACCTTCCAAACCACCTTCACCAAGCCTGTGTACCCAGGGTTTCGGCTTGGCTGGGTGGACTCCACAGTGTACTTGTGCTAAACATTACCTGGACATCGTGACACGAAGGACATGTAGCATTTGTAGTATTTTCTTTTCTTCTGCTCTGGGGTTATTTCTTGGGGTTATTTGCCCAAGTTTGAGATGTCGGATTTTCAGACTTTTGCCTCACCCTGTACTGGATTTTTGAGGCCAACACATGTAAGAGTTCCCTTAAATTAGTTTGAAGTCACGCCATGGCAATGTCCAAGTCTTTGACGATTAGACACCTTCGAGGTGGTAAGACTTAAGGAGGGTGACGAATCCATAGTCAAATTTGCTGTTGCCCTCTTTGGGAGAGGTAAGCAACATGGCTCTAGTGGTCATTTCCATGTTTTGGCGCTGTTAAGCTGTTTATAAGTTCATTTTATGTTGACATAAACCTGTGTTACTTATTTTGTGTAGGGGTTTGAGTTCATATGGTTGTGTCTGATGGAGGATTTTGTTTTTACTGCTTGCTGTCAGGAATAAAAGGAGATCGCCTCCAAAGATACCCATGGTCTGGGCCTCTTTGTATCAACACAACGCAGACATCACTAGAGTCCACGGGTTACAAATGTTTCTATGTTTTCTGTATATTAGACGTGCATTAACGCATCAAATTTCATAACGTCACTTCACATTACCTGTTAACACGCTCTGCAGTCTTTTCCCATGCCACCTCATGCTGATCCATCCATGGATCCGCGGTTTAGTGGTCCATCTACGTCCCAACCCTCACCTATGGTCATGAGCTCTGGGTAGTGACCAAAAGAATGACGTCGCGGATACAAGTGGCCGAAATGAGTTTCTTCCGTAGGGTGTCTGGGCTCAGTCTTAGAGATAGGGTAAGGAGCTCGGACATCTGGAGGGAGCTCGGAGTAGAGCCGCTGCTCCTTCGCGTCAAAAGGGGTCCGTTTGAGGGGGTTTGGGCATCTGATCAGGATCCTCCAGGATCCAGAACATGCTGGAGGGATTACATATCTCATCCGGCCTGGGAACACCTTGGGGTCCCCCAGGAGGGGCTGTAAAGCGTTGCTGTGGAGAGGGACATCTGGGGTGCTTTGCTTGGCCTGCTGCCCCTGGGATCTGGCTTCGGATAAACGGATGAAAATGGATGGATGGACCGATGGACCTCACGCTGTTTAGCTACAGCTGGCGTATTAAATTTCTTTCTTTTTTTTGAAAACAAGTTCAAAGTCCACATACACGGTCATAAAAATCTCCTGTTCAGTTTGAGTGAACTACGTGGCTCTGCCTTTAGCTCTGCTTTCTGCCACTGAGAATCACGTCATCTGTGTTCCACTGATGACGACTTTACATGCTCGCCGTGAACGCACTTCCCTCAGGCTGAACATACTCAGAACTGATAGAGCTAACTCTGATCAGCTGCTCTGGACCTGAAAACTCAGAGTTTCACCAAAACTCAGGCTCAGTCAACTCGGTGATCAGGATTAGGCTCAGAGATTAATGTGCCTGCTTTCTGAAACAGGACCCTGTAGTCTCATTTAGCCACTTGTGAGCAACCGTAGAAGAAAATGTGAAGTTTCTGAAGCCTCTGTTGACCGCAGACCTTATTTTAGACATCTTAAGAAAAAAAAAAAAAATCTCACTGACTTCAAGATGAGGGAAGCAAAAGTGCCAACATGCTAACTGATCTCTGGGTTTTAGGACTCATTCATGCAGCACTCTATAAAAACAGTGGAAGCAGAAATTGAGAACATGTTCTTATGAAACCAAATCTATCTGCATGAGTAGATACTGAGAGGAAGTGAAAACATGTAGTGAAATATGGGGAAATCTATCAAACCATCAGTCACTGGAATAGCTTTCCCTCTTTACATATTTCAACCCTACAGTAAGTTTTACACTTACACTTACAGTTGTACACTGCCTATTCCACCCTGTGATGACTGCAACCTTATTTCTAAACTCAATGTTAAATCATTTTAAATAATTTTTTTTGGGGGGCGTGACCAAAGTCTACAATGGTAAAAATATGGGTCCCTCAAGAAAAAGGTTGGGACCCACTGATCCAGACCACTGGTTCCCAATAGGTCCAGATTTCTCCTTAGTCATCAGTTTAAAGTCCACACAGTTTAGCACATTTGGCGTCACATGTGTGTTCCACCATGTCTTTGATCAGAAAACGGCACTTCAAAATAAAAGCTCTGTGCTAGAAAAAAGTGCTTTTAACAAACCTGACACCTTTACGAGTCACTTGGGGCTAGTGATGTTATGCTCGAGCCACTTTGCTTGACGCAGTGCCGATCTTTTGAAGCGCAAGTGTTCGGAAACAGTGTTTCAATCCCTGCTTCGGTGCGGTTACATGATGGCTTCTCATTCGGAATTAAATAAAACTGAATGAAATCATTCGGAATTAAAGTTTTTCCAGGTAGTTTACATGAAAAATATTCATTCTGAATGAGGGTTTACACAGGAGATCAGTTTAATCACCTTTATTCGGGTCCGCGCAAGGTTTGGGGCAGGGAAAGTTTCTGATTGGATAGGGGGTGGGGCGGATGTTACGTGTATACGTTTACCGGAAGAACACTGAAGTCCTCGTTCCGGATAACAAGATGCTTGAGGACGCCATTCTTAGTGCCTTTTTCGGGCTCGTTTTGCTTATATTCTTGAAGCAGCAGTACGACAACAACCTTGCTCTGCTAATGCTTCGTCTGTTGAGGAGGAAAAGAGAGGTAGAAGACCACGAATGGAAACTGTTGAGTGCAACGAGTCCGACTGCTCTACTCAGCCCGTTGCTATGCACGCTATATACGTCATCGCATACGTCAGGGCAAGGAAACGAGCATGCGCAGAAAGACCGGAATGAACTTAAAGAGGAATGAGTGTATACAAGTGCGAGAAGGTCTTTCATTCAGAATTAGAAACAGAAAATTCCAGCCCCTTACATCAGATTGAATTTTCAATCGCATTGGCCATTTTCATTCTGAATTAGGTGTTTACAAGATTACTTTTAATAGGAATGAACTTTAATTCCGAATGAAAAGGGAATTAAACTGTCCATGTAAACGCACTCAATCACGTGGCTACAGAGAGCGAGGCCTCGTTACAGGCAGTCTTGAGGCTTTTTCAGGTCTTCCACTTAGATGCAGTTCTGACACACAGCCAGCAGATGTCACTCTCCTGATTGTATGAAATGCTTTGAAGCAGTGTGTCATTCTTGAAGCAGTTGCATCAAAGTGGTTCATGAGGCTTCAATTTCACCATCACTAGTTGGGGTCCATTAAAAATGGACACACGACCCACCAGTAAGGAACTACTGATCTAGACGCCACCTGTACAGCCATATTAAGAGAATGTATTCTGTTGAAATGTAAAACGTGTGTACACATGATTTGTAATAAAGCTCCTGTCAGTGAAGGGAGACGCAGCAAGTGGAGTATCACTTTTAACAATCATTTTATTAGCAGTCCCAAGAGGCAATGAAAAAAAAACAACAAATCAAAGAAAAAAAGGAACAGAAATTAAGATTACAGTCAAGACGGTGGGCCAATCAGAGTCAGTGAACATAAAGACGGAACAGAGGGCTACACACACACACCGATCAAACACAAAAGTCACATTGTTAAAAAAAAAAGAAAAAAGAAAAGAACAGAAAGTGATAAATGAAGAATTTAATCTCATGGGTAGTGTGCGTGTGTATGTGTGTGTGTTGGCTGATCCCTCTGTTCCTCAGGAGAAATTCACCAGGACCGACCCCACATTCTCACACACACACACACACTCACAGTCACACGTACACAAACATATCAAAAAGCCAGTCGAGGCGTCTTCCTCTCTCCAGTAAAAGCCGGGATTTTATATTTCGGCTATTTATGACAGAGAAACCAACCATCAACAAACCACAGCTGTTCAGGCATGTTTTTAAAATTGTTATTTTCTATTAATTCTGTACAGATTATATATTTTATTTACACACTGAACACCGTCAGTGCGGAGACAACTCAAAACTTGCAAACACTAACTGATGTCCATTTATCTGCCGTTGTTCCGTGCTCATTTCTGTCTGCTGGAAACTGCTTTTTTTGTTTGTTTTTAAACACAATTTTGGACATCAGAGCATTTCATTAATATAAAGTCTGCAGCACTACAAATCAACAGACAGAATCACGAGGAGGATTTCCTCGTCGCTGCGATGCTGAGATCAAACGTTCACACCCGTCCTTGTGTCTGGCCTTTCTCTTTGCTGCATAGACTTTGAACTGCCTCTCATAACAGAGTCATGACACATCTGGTTCATCAGTGACCGAACATCTGAGACGTTCAGTCACAAAAACAAATCTGGATTATACCAATTACTGGGATAACACAGCAGCCATGCACACCTTTAGTTCAGATTCACTTGTGGACACTCAAAATAACTGCTTTCTGTGGTTAAAAAGGTGGTCAGACTCCAGTTTGAGCTGTTAAAGGGATAGTTCAGATTTTTTTGAAGTGGGGTTGTATGAGTTAATCATCCATAGACAGGATGTCACATGCAGTAGATGTCAGTCCGCATGCCCCCAGTTGGAGCAGCAGGCTGCAGCGGGAAAATGTAGCCGTTGCATCGCGCTCGTCAAAGCCAGACTCCATTGAGAAAAACAGTGATTTAACGTTGCTGAACAGAGGAGCTGCTGGTGTACAGCTGCCTCCAAGTTATTTTGTTTGTGTTACTGTGTCACTTGGGAGTTTCAAAGGGTTTGTTTGGATTCACTAAAATTGCACAATAACACAAACTAACTAGCTGATTGATGTGGCCGTATTGCAGCAACTCATGTAATCAGTGAGCTAAAATTAGTGTTTTTGTCGATGGAGTCCGGTGGGCTTTGATGAGAGCACAGACGGGTCAGCAACGAAATCTATTTTAGCCACCTTGACAAAATCTATTAGTTAAAGTGAAGGCTATATTTAGAGTATTTTCACCGCTTCACTTTAATTTCAGACTGCAATTTCAAGCGGGAAAATGAAGCCGTTGCATCGCTCTCGTCAAAGCCAGACTCCACTGAGGAAAAACAGCGATTAAACGCTGCTGGTCTACAGCTGCCTCCAACAGTTATTTTGTTTGTGTTACTGTGTCACTTGGGAGTTTCAAAGGGTTCGTTTGGATTCACTAAAGTCACACAATAACACAAACTAACTAGCTGATTGACGCAATGGTAGCGCAGCAACTCATGTACTCAGTGAGCTAAAATTACTGTTTTTGTCAATGGAATCTGGTGGGCTCTGGCGAGAGCGTTGATGGGAAGCTGAAGCTGTTAACGGCATTGCCCAAGCAGTGAAAATACTCTCAATATAGCGTACACTTAAACTGATATAGGGACTTTTTTATTTAGGTGGCTGAAATACATTTTGTTGCCGACCCCGTCCACAGCAGCACATTCCTTAGCTTCCATGTCAGACTCCATCTTGCTTCTCCACACTGGGGTCGTGCTGTTTGTGGGTAAGCACGCCGTACAACTGAGCTTAAAAACAAGCCTGAACTATCCCTTTAAAGTAGGCTTCGATTTGGAT